CCGGGAAACTGACAGCTGAGATGGTTTCAATAAGTGCTTTTCCCGTAAAGGTGGAGGATGCGAGAGACTTTGAAAGCACACCTGGATCTCTCAAATTTAAGAAACCCTTGGTTGGCGAGAAAACAACCCTGTCGATTAGAAAGTAACCAAACCGTGTAAGAGTGTGATGAGAAAACAAGGCGTGCGGGTAATCAGGGAGTCTCTTTCTCCCTGAACTTGACTTCGATAATGGAATCTGACTACCTCCTTGACCTCTACCTCCTGCACCTTGATGTGACCCTTCCCTCGCTGCCTTCTGTCACGCTGCACTATACACAGCCTTTGCTTTGAGTAGCTGAAGCTCCTAATATGCATCTAGGGCAGTGGTTCTCAACCTTCCTGATGCCGCGACCCTTTAATACAGTTCCTCATGTTGTGGTGACCCCCAATTTCATTGTTACAAATTGAACATACTTAAAGCATAGTGATTCATCACAAAAACAATATGTAATTATCTATGTGTTTTCCGATGGTCTTAGGCGACCCCTATGAAAGGGTCGTTCAACCCCCAAAGGGGTCGCGATCCACAGGTTGAGAACCCCTGATCTAGGGCAAGAAGGACCAGAGCTGGTCTCTTGCTATTATTTCTATCTTTTTGAAAATATTGTTTGTAGAAAAAAAGAAAAGAAAAGAAAGAAGATACTGTTTGTCTCACCTTGGGGGACAGGGCCCTTCTTACCTTTTCTCCCCCAGCATCTTACATGAAATAAACACTCAAAAAATTGTCAAATGAATGAACGGAGGTCTTAAAACCCAGAAGGCCCAACCCTCCCCGACAGATGCATCCAGCAAGACGCTAAGGATGGGATTATCCTCACTCAACTGAATGAGGAGGGTGGCCTGGCAGTGCTTCCTCCAGGCTGAAAGAGGATTTATCAAATTAAATATCGGAAGTCAAGCCCTGACTGGTTTGGCTCAGTGGATTGAGCATCGGTCTGCGGACTGGAAAGTCCCAGGTTCGATTCCGGTCAAGGGCATGTACCTTGGTTGCGGGCACGTCCCCAGTTGGGGGTGTGCAGGAGGCAGCTGGTCGATGTTTCTAACTCTCTATTCCTCTCTGTAAAAAATCAATAATATATTTATTTTTTAAAAATCGGAAGTCATAGCCCTAGTCCTCAGAGAGCTTTCAGTATCATTTGCAGCAAGAAAAAAAAAAGTGTCCTGAAAAGAGTAAAAAATCAATAAAATATATATATTTTAAAAAATCGAAAGTCATAGCCCTAGTCCTCAGAGAGCTTTCAGTATTATTTGCAACAAGAAAAAAAAACAGTGTCATGAAAAGAGACAAGTTAAGGTATAACTGCTAGCCTCTACATTCTCTAGAAACACAGAGAAGAAAAGGAATATTCCAGGCATGGCCTTGGTCAAAGCAGACTTCTGAGGGAAGCTGGGCTACGGTTGGGCCAGCTTTGCATTATAAAAGAGGAAGCATACTGTCAAGCACAGATTAGAAATGGGGTTAGGTCTGGGGAGGTAGCTAACACTCAGGCTTCCTTTCTGGGCGCTTATAGTCTTGAGGACAGACTGAGTGAGAAATAATTGGAGTGAAAAGAATGCATTAGGGCCCTAGCTGGTTTGGCTCAGTGGATAGAGTGTCGGCCTGCGGACTGAAGGGTCCCAGGTTCGATTCCAGTCAAAGGGCATGTACCTTGGTTGCGGGCACATCCCCAGTGGGTGGTGTACAGGAAGCAGCTCATCGATGCTTCTCTCTCATCGATGTTTCTAACTCTGTCCCTCTCCCTTCCTCTCTGTAAAAAATCAACAAAATATATATTTTTTAAAAAAGAATGCCTTAGGAAGGAATAGGACTGGGCGGGATTAATATAAACTGGATAGATCTGGAGAGGCTTAATGAGGTTTCCCTGTAGTGCTGGGGAGGAAACACTGTCTCTTATGAAAATAATTCAGATATTTAGAACAGGTGATCCCAGACTAGATAAAGACATAAGCCAAAGGAATTAAATTTTCCAAATGTGGGACTCTGACATGCTATTTTCTCTGCCCGCTGTGCTGCCAATTTTCCCAACACACAAGTCTTTTGGACTCCATCAATCACAATGGCATGTCTGGTATTTTCCTTCATATATAGACTGCTGGCCTGCCTAAAGGAGGCACCTTATTATAGAGATTAAGTCAGACCCACTTGACTTTGAATCACAGATCAACCACTCACTAGCTGTGTGATCTTGGGCCTATCAGTTAACTCTTTTTTTTTATCCTCACTTTTCTGGTGTGTAAAGTGGAAATAAAAAAATCATTTATATCGTTGGAAGATTAAACAAGATAGTACACATGAATACAGCTGTTGACACAATGGATGACAAATGGTGAGTGTACGATAAATGTTAGTAGTTATTATTAAAACAAGAAGTGGCTTCCACCTGATGTCCAAATGCTCAGGGCTAAGAAAGTCTGTCATTAGAGTTGAGCCTGGGCTAATCATTTCTGTACGAATTAAGGGTGTCTACCAGCAGAAGCAAAGTAGACTCCATTTTTTTAATTTTTATTTATTTTAAAAATATATTTTATTGATTTTTTTACAGAGAGGAAGGGAGAGAG